CTCGCACATTCTGTGCACGCCGCGGAAAAGACTTACTGAAAGAATCGTGTTGAGTGTTGCTCCAGTGTTGACTCGGATTTCCCGCAGTTTCTTCATGGGAATGTGTTGTGGAGCCAGAAAGAATCTGAAATTGCAAGAACGGAGAGGAAACCGTATACAACATAACGTGACTGTATCGCATTTAGTCCGAACCTCAATTCCGCTGACGAGGCGCGCAAATATTATTTAGCACAGGTGGACTCAACAATGAAATGAATTCAAGGGACCAGAGAAACGTCCGTTGTAGAGGATACCGATGGGGAGAGAGCCCAACTTGACAACAACAAAATTAGCTATTCTGTACCATCCAGACAGGATGGTTGTGAATGAGGGAGTACACCGCCTTTTATGCAATACTGCACAGTACTGTGCTGGTTATTTACTGGGTTTGCAACACAGACGACACCTAGGTGACGACAGGGACAATTTGAGAAATAGATGCGTTCAGTTTTCGCAAGATTGAGCAGAAAAGTTAACGTTGATACAGCAGTACAATACTGTACCTGTATAACCGGAGATGTGTCATTTCAATTGCGGTACTGTGTAGAATTATGTAAAATGCCTAATTTTAAGTTAATGCCAGCAATCTCATTGCCTGTTGCTATCATGAGCTTTTTTCACTTCCTGCGCGCGGAAATGGGTTAAAACTAGGCTGATCATGCGGCTCATCTCTTCAATCCTCAGGACAGATCTGGAATACTGTATTTAGTGTATTATATTTACTGTACCGTTGCTTTTCGTTTTCCTCCTCAATTTATCTCTGTAACTTAAGCATGCTTAACAACCAACCGTCCGGGTTGTTTTCCTTCTCGGTCATGAAGTGGATTCCGGTCCACAACAGCCACCATCAAAGTCCTCACCAAAACCAAAGGAATCAGGAGAAATCCCTTTGCATACAAAATCAGCCTTTGCCACAGTTTCACTGGCCTCATGCTCCGGAACATCACACTTGGATCCGACTTCGGATCCTCATCTAAAAACTTTGGCATCAGCGCGAGCAAAATTCCTCCTGCGTCAGCAAGCCTATGGTCTAAATGCATAATGATGCAAGTATGAACTGATCCTTGGTCTTGCTTGTAACAAACTCGGAATATCCATTTCGGAACAAGAGGCTGATCCGGGTGAACATCAGTGTTCAAAGATGTTTCCATGGCATCTTCCAAGTCTTGGTCACTGCGGCACACCAACGGTTGCCCGTTTTTGTCCATCAAGTACACAAAATGTTGATCCGAATCAAAGTCCTGGTACGGTACTGACACAGAGTAGTTGAG